CGCTTGGGGAGTGAATCATCAGATGGAAGATCTTCCTCTCTGTCTCTCCTCCTTTCTGTATATCCGCCTTTCCAATAAAAATAAATAAATCTTTAAAAAGAAAAAGATGCAGGGGGGTGAAGGGCTTGACCAGTCCTGTCACTCGCCCCCGGCTTCATATCCTGAGCTCCTCAAGGTGAAGCAGAGTAGTCCCTCCTTCCTATCCTTGGAAGATTTTATAAAGGATACACAAATCCCTGGAAAGTTTTATAAGACTTGCTTAGAAAACCATCTTGGGGTGGGGTGCAGAGCCTTTTTCTTTTTATTAAAGATCTATCTATCTATCTATATATATATATATATATATTTTTTTTTTTTTAACTGGGAAGGAAGATCAGATTTAGAGACAGAAGAAAAGACAGAAAGATCTTCCATCCACCAGTTCACTCCTCAAGTGGCCACAATAGCCAGAGCTGAGCCGATCCAAAGCCAGGAGCTAGGAACTTCTTCCGGGTCTCCCACACGGGTGCAGGGTCCCAAGTCTTTGGGCCATCCTCGACTGCTTTCCCAGGCCCCAAGCAGGGAGCTGGATAGGAAGTGGAGTACCGGGACATGAACCAGCACCCATATGGGATCCCAGTGCTTGCAAGGAGAGGATTAAACCACTGAGCCATCACATGTCCCTGAGTCTTTTTTTATAAGCATATGATACACAAGACGGATACAGAGTACAGAGGATGGACGCATTCAGTTGGCTGAATTTTTGAGAAATAACTGCCCCCAACTGCTACTTTCCTGGGTCAAATCATGAACCACCTGGGAACTTCCTTCTGAGATCCGTTCCCATCAAGAGGTTCTCCCACCCGTGGGAGAGGAGGTGGACTGCCTACTTGTTGGCTTCCACAGTGTCCCAACCTGCGTCTTCTTTTACTACGTGTTCATGTGTTCATCCGTTAAAGGATGGTTTAACATAGCCTGCTTTTCGTTTCAGGTAAATGGAACAACTGAGTGTGTAATGGGTCTGGCTTGTACATATGTCCCTCGCCAGCAGGATGTAGCCACGTTTGTCCAGGAGTTTATGTCTGTTCTTCACGTGGTTGTTGGTATTCAATAGTACAGACACACAGGGTGAGTATCTCTTATTCAAAAGCACTTGGAACCAGAAATGTCTCCCACTGAAGAGTATCTGCACATACGTAATGCACTGTCTTGGTGACAGGACTCAAATCGAAGCACAGAATTCACTTGTGATTCATCTACGCCTTATATACTCAGCCCGAAGCAGATTTTGCATAACAGTGTCAATAATTTTATGCATGGGGTGGCTGGCATCAAGTGAGCACTGCTTCCTGTTCTGTCTGCTCCACTTCCAATCCAGCTCCCTGCTAATGTACCTGGGAGAGGAGCAGAAGATAACCCAAGTGCTTGGGGTCCGGCACCCAAGTGGGAGCTCCATGTTCCTGGCTTTAAACTGGCCCAGGTCTGGTCATTGCAGCCATTTGGGGAGTGAACCAATGGATGGAAGACCTCTGTAACTCTACCTTTCAAACAAAAATAAATCTTTTAAGAAATCATAATTTTATACATGAGACAAAGTTCCATGGTGTAGAATTTTCCAAGGTGCAATGTCGGTGTGCAGAAAGTTGAGGATTCAGGGGCACTTCCAATTTTCCTCTTGGGGATACTGGAGCTGGCAATTTCAGTCTTGGATATACAGGTTTTCCAGGTTTTCAACACCACAAGCCATGTTGTCAAGTCCAGTCTTGCACTTTCTGCCTGGACCTGGTCTGCGCTGGTTCACAAGCAGGTGGCAGTTTCTTTTCCAATTCACACTTCCACCTGCTCTTGATGCCCGTGATCATTAATTGCCCTTGGACTGGCCCCTGTGCAGTGGAAGCTCAGTGTAGTTTACCAATGAGAGTGAAATTCTTTCAGAGGTTTCCCAGTCTTGGGAGATTTCTCTGCTAAAACGTGCCATTCAGGCTTTTTATTGTTTTTATTTATTTATTTTGGCCTGCGGGAATCCATTTTGTTTTAAGTTTCTAAAAGACTTATTTACTTCAAAAGGCAAAGTGATACATGGAAAGGGAGAGACACAAATAGAGATCTTCCACCTGCTGGTTCACTTCCCACATGGTTGCCATGATGAGCGCTAGCCCAGGTGGAAGGCTGGAATTTCATCCGGGTTTCCCACGTGGATGGCAGGGGCCCCAAGCACTCAGGCCATCTTCTGCTGCCTTCCCAGGTGCCGTAGCAGGGGGCTGGATTAGAAGTGAAGAGGTAGGGACTCAAACACAGGCTCGCCCAGGTAATGGCAGTGTCACAGGTGGCATAACCACCTGCATTACAACATCAGCCCCAGTGGTGGTCTCTATTATGAATCCAAAGAAATAATTCCCTGGTCATGCTTATCATACAACTAACCTTTCCCGTGTCACAGCTTGCCTTTTTCATATGTTACTTGCTACGAGGATTTTTTTTTTTTTTAAGAGGCAGGATAGAGACAGAGAGGGAGGCAGACAAAGAGTTCCCATCTGCTGGTTCCCTCCCTAAATGCTTTCATTGGCTGGGACGGGGTCCCGCTCAAGCCAGGAGCCAGAAATTCAATGCAGACCTCCTGCAAGGGTAGCAGGCATCTGATTACTTGGCCCATAACCTGCTGTCCCTCAGGCTGCACATTAGCAGGAGTCTGGCAGTGAGAGGTGGGACTTAAATGCAGGGATTGTGCAGGAGTCTAAACCTGTGTCTTCATTGCCAGGCCAAACAACTGCCCCAAAGGGGGATTTTTATTGCTCAACGTTTAAAATTCTTCCAGGGCTGTTTCAGGCTGTGCACTTCTACTAGAATCAGTATTGACAAGTTACATTTTTAAAGGAACTTTCCCCTATTCTCAGTGCTTCTGAATGTGTTGGGAACCTCTTCCAGGTCTCCCTTGTGGGGACAGGGTTCCAAGGCTTTGGGTCATTCTCCACGGCCACAAGCAGGGAGCTGGATTGAAAGTGGAGCAGCCGGGACATGAACTGGTGCCCATATAGAATGTAGGCACTTGAAGGTGGAAGATTAACCAGTTGAGCCATTGCGTTGGCCATTTCTTGCTCGATTTTAAGACACTGTTGTTCTGTGGTTTTTTAATTCCTTAGGTTAGCCGGGCCTTTTGTCCTTGCTGCTGGCCAGTCTCCCCAGTGGCCTGTGTATGCCTCTCTTTTAAGAACCAATTTTTGGAGTCCTGTGGTGGAACAAGTTATTTGCTGTCAGCAACAAGAGCATCCTTCCTGTACAACGCTGGTTTGAGTGCCAGCAGTACCACTGCCTATCTAGCTCTCTGCTAATAACACTTGAGAGAGCAGCAAAACATGGCCCGAGCCTTTGGGGCCCTGCACCACATGGGAAACCTGGAAGAAGCTTCTGGCTCCAGCTTGGAGCTGGATGTGCCCAGCTTCAGCTGTTGTAGCCATTTTGGGGTGAACCAGCAGATAGAAGATCTCTCTCTGCCTTTCAAATAAATAAAATCTGTAATAGTAATAATTAATAAAAGTAAAGAATCTACTTTGGGCTTTCTCGATCTTCTCTAGTTATCTTTATGTTGTCCTCTGTTGAATTTGGCTTTTTATTATCTTTTTCCTGGAACTTTCTGGGGGTTTCCTCTGGGCTTTTTCTCCCTTCTTGAAGAGACTGGCTGGCCAGCAGCATACAGTCTCCTGACCTACACTCCCCTGGAGGCCCCTTCCTTTGCAAGCTGTGAGTCCTATGAGGCTAGTCATTATCAGTCTCACGGGAGAGGATTTCTCAATTTTCACTCTTATTTCGACTTTAGCTGTTTAGCAATGTTGTTTTCAAGTTTCCCAAATGCATGGGGATAGAACTTTGTCTTACATTATGCCTGTCAGACTCCATGATGCTGAGATCAGAGTCTAGCGTAGGGGGCAGGAGGCACCCTGGTGCAGTGGGGTAAGCTGTCACTTGGGGTGCCCACATTCCATGTCTGCGTGCTGGTTCAAGTCCCAAGAACCCCATGCTTCTGACCCAGCTCCCGCCAATGCACCTAAGAAGACTTGAGGGCCCACGAGCTTGAGTCTCTGCCACCCGTGGGGGAGACCAGGACAGAACTTCCAGTCCCTGGCTTCAGCCTGGCCCAGCCCCTGCTCCTGTGGTGAACCAGCGAATGGAAGATCCTGGCTCCCTCTCCCCTACTTCCTGTCATCCCACCTCTCTCTCTCTACCTCTTTATCATTCTTGAAAATAACAAGTTTTTAGGAACAAAACATTTCAAGCCACTATGATGATGTTAACCTATGAGGTCTTTGGACAGCTGAGGTGCAGACACCTGTGTGGGTCCCTCTGTGAACTCCCACACCCTTGATTGTAGCCCAAGGGGATCCCAGCTACAAGGCATCTGCTCTGCAGGGGCCTCATGTCTGCTCCTGCAGCTGACCAGAGGCACTGCCAGCTGGGGGCTATGGGAGCCTTGCAGCAGCCATCAGGGGTTCACCCCAGAGGCAGGGATTTGGGAATGGGTCCAGGAAAGGCCTGTCTTATACTGATCCAGAGGACTCTGGCATTTTTGAGATCCAGAACAGCTGTGTCTCGGCCACGGTCAATGCCCTACCTGTACCGTCCACGCCTGCCCCCAGACACACCTGCTGCTCCTGCTTCCTGCTCACCTCTCAGTTAGGTATTGGAACAACGCTTGCTGCTTTCTGGTGTAGCAGAAGTGGCTTTGGCTCCTCTAAGCCCAGCAAAGCATATAAACAATTATATTTAACTTTTAGGAGGGAATTAATTGGCAGTATTACTTTATGGTGGGGGTGGGGTGGGAGCGGCGGTCCTGGGAGCAACCAAGCCCAGGACGGGTATATTCTCCTCAAGGAAGCCAAGGCTTCAACAGGTGCTAGGACTGAGCCAAGGTCACACGGCTGGCACAGGCAAGGCTGGGACTTGAAGCACTTGCGACATTAGAAACCTGGGCTCTGCCACCATCCCTCTGTGCTAGCTGTCCCTCCAGAGTGATCAGAGGTCCTTACCTGGTGCAGAGGGATGACAAGGAAGGCGCCCCCACCGGCACACTCAGTCACGACGGCAATGAAGTGGGGGTTCACGGCACAGAAATGGTTGTCGTGCACGCTGCGGGTGATGGGCACGGAGTCATAGCAATTCTCCTTGCTGGCTGGTTTGCCGAAGACGTGCCGGAACTTGGAGCTCCGGTACTGGGGGTGCCATGACATCTGTGAGAGATAAATAGAACTGGTAAGTTGAGGCTCCCAGACCCTGATCCATCTGGGGAGAACCGCAAGGGTCTCTAAGAGGGTGGGGCTGGAGCAGCAGTTGGGGGGTCCCACGCGGTAGGTAACTCAGTGTGTTCTAGGCTGTAAGGAGAGTGTGTATTTAGCAAGCAGGGAGTGCTTCCCAGAGGAGGGTACATGTGAGCTGAAAGTTGGGTAGAATCTGGCTCTGTAGACAAGACCAGGAAGAGCTGGGAAGCACCCCAGGGGAAGGGAGTAGCTTGAGAGACGCCCCAAGGTGGAAGGGAACATGGGGTGTTTGGGGAAAGCTGTGGGATGAGTAGCGTTGGCAAGGAGCTTTACACACCTGCCATCACACACATGCGTGAACAGGATGGTGGGCATGAGCAGGGGGCACTCAAGCCTGAGAGGTGCACAGGGCCAGATCACGAGTGGCCTGTCAGAGGGGCCTGGGGCACGCCGTACCTTGTGGCGTTCCTCTCGATGCCTGCCCCGGCTCACATCACCCTTCTCTATGCCCCATTCGCTGCTGTCCCCAGGGTCAAAGCTAAGGTCAGTCTGGCATTCCAGGCCTCCTTGATGGATCTCAGTCTACACTCTAAGACTGGCGGGTTCTTGCTCGCCCTAGATGCTACTAAGCAGCTTCCTGTCCACCTGCTGTGGTGTTTCCGGTCCTTAGGCTCTCACTCCTGGCCTTGCCCAGCTCCACAAATTCAAGTCCGTTCCTTCCCTAGCTCCAGAGTCACTTCCTCCAGAGAATCCTCCTGGACACCCCAGCTAGCCACCCCTCCACAGCTGTCTCTCCTCTTGACCTTTGCCCTAGACTCCATCCACCTGGGGTCAGGGTTTGGTGTCAGGGTCTTTTCTCCCTAATAGCTTGCAGGTTCTCTGACAGTCCTTGGACAACCCGCCGTCCCTGACTGCCATGAGTGCCCAGCGCTGTGTCTGTATACCCCAGACCCCTGAGCTGCATGGTGAGATGCAGACAAGGGAGCTTCGAGAACTACTTGGAACATGGAATTAAAAAAAAAACTCATTTGGATGCAAAAATATGTTTTGAGGGACTGGTATGGTGGTACAGTAAGACTGCCTGAAAACCAGGATCCCCATATGGGCGCCAGTTTAAGTCCTGGCTGCTTCACTCCCAAGTCAACGTCCAGAGATGCGCCTGGAAAAGCAGCAGAAGATGGCCCAGGTGCTTCAGTCTCTGCACCCACGTGGGAGACCCAGACGAAGCTCCTGGCCCCAGTATCTGGTCAGGCTAGCCCAAGAAGTTTGAGAATGTTTGGGGAGTGAATTAGCAGATGGAAGATCTCTGTTTCTCCTTCTCTCTGTGTAACTTTGCCTTTCCAATAAATGCACCTTTTACAAATGTGTTTTGAATCTAAGCACAATTATTACACAATATGCACTTCCCAAAAACTTTCCAGAGCCCTTCCCCATTTGGCTGGGTCCCCACTTGTCCAAGAAGGTACTTGCCCATTCTGGTGGCTGGCAGGAGGAGTGAGGAGAGACTGTTCTGTCATCTTCTAGACACACGACCAGACCACAAACTTGGGTAGATCCCAGCCATCAGAGGGCTGGCCTAGTCCAAGGCCTTCTGAGCACAGGGGCCTGTGACACCCACATGTCTTGGTTCCTGGCCCCAATCATGGCTGTGTTCACCAGGATTACAACACAGGAAGCAGCGAATGGACTAACAAATACCCATCTGCTCCCAGAAATGAGTTAAGAATTACAGAAATCAGGTACAACAGCCCACTGGCTAAATCCTTGCCTAGCACGTGCTGGGATCCCATACGGGCACCAGTTTGTGTTGCACCTGCTTCAGTTCCTATATCCAGGTGCATGCTTGTGGCTGGGAAAAGCAGTAGAGGATGGCCCAGTGCCTCGGGACCCTGCACCCACATGGGAGACCCGGAAGAAGCTCCTGCCTTTGGATTGGCTCAGCTCTGGCCGTGGAAGCCACTTGGGGAGTGAACCAGTGAATGGAAGATCTTTCTTTCTTGTCTCTCCTTCTCTCTGTAAATCTGAGTGTCTCATAAAAATAAATAAATCTTTTTTTAAAAAAAACCAAGAATTTCAGAAATCTAGAAGATACAGAATAGTCAGAAACTAAAAATACACAGTAAGAAATAGGGACACAGGGAAAGTGCAGGAAAAAGATCACCCAAGGTGTTGAGGAGCGTTAAGCTATTAAGTATGCTGCCAGGGCCTTCACACAGAGGAGGTGGCGTGCACATGTGGTGCTGAGCTTCCTATCAGTAAATTCAACAATGGAAACAGGCTCAGGGAGGGATGCAGCCAGGGTCTGTTTTATCTGCATTGGTTAGGAAGGCCTTCTTGGAACAGCAAGAACCATACTATACTCTCCCTAGGGTCTTAGCAAGTAGGCGGCAGCTGAGGAAGGAATTTGGACTTGGGCTGGGAGAAGGAAAGTGGCGGTGGGAGGATGCAGGTGAGCAGGCATTAGTTCTGGCCCATGGACCACGGTAGGAAGTAGTGTGTATCACCCCCAGCCGAAGCACCTGACACCTGCCTGCCAGCCTTGGGCACCCTTGTTTTTGGCTGCAGGCAAGAGAAAGGAAGCCAAAGAGGACACAGAACCCAGATGCCCTGAGGTGGAACTTGCACTTGGAGAGCGGTGAAGGGGGAATGAGAGGATCTCACTGAATTTCAGAGATGTTTGTTCGTGTGAAAGGGAAAGACAGAGCAAGAAAGAACTCCCATCTTGGGGTTCACTCCCTGTAACACCTGCACCCTCCAGGCCAGGTGGAAGGCAGCAGCCTGCTGTGCAGCTCTCCCACATGGGAGACAGGGACTCAAACACTGGAGCCCTTACGCCTACCACCCAGGGTGCACATCAGCAGGAAGCAAGCACCAGCGAGTGGAGCAGGCACACAAACCCAGGGACATGTTAGAGCAAGTGAGAGGCCACAGTCACGTGAGGGAAGTGTTAGGGCAAGTAAGGGACATGTTAGAGCAAGTGAGAGGCCACAGTCACCCGGGCAGACAGGCATAGGCACACACTTGTACCTGAGTACACATGGTGTACTGTGTGTATATGGGAGGAAGGGCTAGCCACAGCAGCCATGGCCAGCCTGACCTTTAGTCATCAACAATCCTGGTCCCCTGGCCATGCCCTGTACCACCAGTCTACTCCCTGTGGGGACTCCCCTAACTCCCTCACAGCCCCCCATCCCCTGCCTCCGGCTCAGGCTGATGCCCAAGGGGCAGCTCCCACCCAGGAAGAAAGTGGAAGCCTCAAAAAGCCAATGGCCACAGCTTCCAGGAGCTCCTGGTCACCTTCAGGGCAATAAGAACTCAACTCTGAGTGCTCCCTAGGGACCAGGCTCCATCCCCAGCATAAGAGCAAAACAGGCTGGTGCAGGGGGAGCCAGCTGGCAGGGCCGTACAGTAGTCATGACCATCAATAACACCTGCTCCACCCTGGCCCTTAGTCCACCACCAAGCTTCTTCCTACCATGTGGCCACGGGAGGAAAGTTATAGCAGCAGGGGGTGGGGTGGCACACCAAGGTGTGCCTGGGTTGTGTGAGCTAAGTGTCAGGCTGTGTGCGTGGCATATGTGAGTGTCCTTGTGATCTCAGCGGAGTACATGTATGTGTGCACCTGTGGGCCGTGTGTGCTGATGCATGCGCAACTTTCATGACTCAGCATTCAGAGGACAGGTGCCAGCCTGCCAGGAAGTCTGCAAGGGGACCCGCGCCCCTGGGCTGGGCCAGGTCTCTCACAGGCCACTTGTCTGGTCCTGCCCTGTTCCAGCAGGTTAGCTGGGCCCGTGCCAAAGGTGAGGCTGGCTCTGGCAAGCATGGCAGATCTGATGCTCTGCCCCACCTTGGCTTCTGCCATGCCTAGCGGGCCTGCTGCCATGGGATCAGGCTCCACGGCTGTGAGTTCCCTCCCCCTGCAGTAAAAGGACTGAGTCACCTTTGGGTTCAACCTTGCTTGGAGTTGGTTTCTCAATGCTTGACAGCAGAGTGGCTCGCCTGGCTGTCCCATCCCCTGTAACTTTCCTGGCAGATGGGGGCAGGGGAGTGGTTATGGTCCCCATTTGTTGACAAAAACACTGAGGTACAAGGGAGGTGACTTGAGCAAAATAGTATGTGTGGGGAGCAGGCACTGTGGCGTGGCAGGTTAATCCTCCACCTGTGACATAAGCATCCCACCTGGGCACTGGTTCAAGTCCTGGTTGCTCTACTTCTGGCCAGTTCCTTGTTAATGGCTTGGGAAAATACATGGGCCCCTGCACCCACTTGGGAAACCTGGAAGAAGCTCCTGGTTGCAGATTGGACCAACCCTGGCTTTTTAGTCCTCTGGGGAGTGAACCAGTGGATGGAAGACCTCTTTATCTCCTCTTTGTTAATTCTTCCTTTCCAATAAAAATACATAAGCCTTGGGGAAAAAATAGCATGTGTGAGAGTAAGGGATGTGGAAGTGGAGGCGGAGTGCTCTTCCTGCTATGCCAGTGTATTTCTGTGACAATCAAGTTGTGTTGTATGTAGGAAAGATGGTGGGGAGGATAGAGACAGAGAGAGAGAGACAGAAAGAAAGAGAGATTTTGGTGTTCATTCCCAAAGGCCTCCCCTTGCGTGTCCAGCCCTTAAAGCAGTGCAGGACAAGGGTTAGCTGCAGGTGACTGGAGCACTTTACAAACTGGGTGTGGCCCAAGCCAGCAGCACGGATTATTAACTGCGCTGCCTGTGGCCTCGGGGAGAGAACGGAATGCCCCAATTTGGTCTTTGGACGTCTGGGAGGAGGAGGAATCTGGCACAGCCACCGTTTCCCCACAAGTCTGTGGCTTCGCCTAGGAGAGTCAAAGGACATAGGATTTGTATGATTTTTTTTCTTCTCTTACAATCTGACGTTGTGGGCTCATGGAGCTATCCCCATAAGTGCCTGTGGAGGGTGTGAGGATTAGAACTGTAAATCACCCAGTCATTATATTAATAAATTAAAAAAA